AAATTATAATATATACTTAATTAAATAATAGTGTAAATCTAATTAAAATGAAGCCCACAAATTTGATTTTTTAAGATCTATTCACATTTTGCATTTTCCTAGCAATTGCGCATTTAATTCCACCCAGAGCTCTTCCGTACTATATACTTTACATGAAACCCATAAAGCCGCCCTCGCCACGAGTATGGCTTGATAATTATCAGGCATAGGCATAAATAAGTACAGAGCTGTGGCTATTTCTTGTGTTTCGTGTTTCTGCTGGTCTTGATCGTGGTCTGGGTCTTGTTATAGTTGCGCTTCAGCGATCACTGCCACGCCCACACGCCTCCTGGGAAAACAGTCGCAATTGGAGTTGCAGTTGCAGTTGCACTTGTTGTTGTTGTTCTTATTGAATTGCGAACAGGAGCCCTTGCAGCTCGGACACGCAAATTGTGTACATTATATTCATATATATGTGTATCAACTATATATACATATATAACTATAGTTGGTTGAATGCTCTTCATGCTTGGCTGCAAGAGTTGTTGTTGTTGTTGTTGTTGTTGCGCATTTCTCACGCTGCAACAAATTAAGTGGCAAGTGCCAATGGCATTTGAAGAACAAACTCGATTCCCAAATGCCGGCTTCTCTCGAATCTTAGTTACATCGAGTCGCCACATAATTAGGCATTGATGCTAAATTAGATTAATGATGGCGGGGCCTCCACACACATTAGAGACTCGAATTAGGCTACAGCCGGCGACTGGCACATGGGACGTGTCGACCTGCCAGCACGCAAACCCCAGATTGAGAGATAGAGAGATAGAGAGAGAGAACAGCCAAGAAGCAAAGCCGCCAACATGCTGATGAAGTTCTAAGCTGAATTTGTTTTACACAATGATCTAGCGCTATGGTAATTAGTATGGCTGACTAATGACTGCCTTGTTTCAGCTCCCCAACCCAAGGAAGTTCATTTGAAATAGCACAATGTCAAAAATGATCTTGTCTACACACAGACAGAGATGGAGAGAGACAAAGAAAGAGAGCGAAAGATACACCACAATGCCACAGCCACTGATTCGAGTACCTGCAGTCGGCAGCAGGTGTTTTCTGCACCCCACACAAGTCTCCGACTCAAGGTCTTGAAGCTGTGCAAAATCTGTGTCAAAATTCATATTCACGAATTCATGAGTTTGCCAAGTGGGATTATGAACTAGTCAATCTATGTTGCCTTCATTAGGCACAGACTGCAAGCCAAGTCAAACTTTTTCTGCTCTGCTGTGTGTTCACGTCTCGAATCAATAGTTCGATTTGCGGTTCACGTGCGCAATCACTAGTTCCATTGGCCATTTCGAAACAAGAAGGATTTTCACTGTTAAATTAGTATTTATCTATTGATTGATTGAATTGTTCTTAGTAATCTGTCAATCTGTGCCTATTATATTCGCTTTTTCCCTATTCCTGTCATTTTCTGTCTCTGCCTCTCTGTCTCTCAGTGTGTTTGTATCGTTGTCTGTCTTATACTACCTGTCTCCATCTCACTTTATCTCTGTCTCTTTAAATTTCTTTGTCACTGATTGGTTTTCTCTCTCCCACTTTCTCTCGCTGTCCTTCAATCTCTCTGTCTTTCTTTCTCCCTCTCTGTCTTTCAATCTCTATTTCTCTCTCTCTCTCTCTGTCTTTCTTTTTCTCTGTCTTTCTTCTCTTTCGCCATGTCTGTCTCTCGCTCCAATTGTGTCTCTCTCTCTCTCTCTCTCTCTCTCTCTCTCTCTCTCTCTCTCTCTCTCTCTCTCTCTGTGACTCTCTGTGACTCTCTGTGTGTCTCCCAGTGTCTTTTCATATGTTCTCAGTAATCTCTTTCAGTCTTCCTTCGTCTGTTTGCCATACACCCTCTATCAATCTCTCTAAGCATTTCTCTCTATATAGATCTATCTGTTTATATGTCTCTCTATTTGTACATATGCATATGTATCTTACACTCCGCTTGTTTCTATATATCCCTTCCCCTTCCTCTACCCCTCCCCTCCCTCTTTGTCCTTCCTTATCTCGCTGCCTTGAGACATGGACAAGCACTGAAATCTTGTGCCGCATTTGTAACAAAATTACATACAAATTTCTGTTGTCTGCTCGCCCTGCTGCGTCTATGACAATCTATGAATGCTTTGTCTTTGTTTTTTATGCGCTTTCAGAGGCAGCCGCCGCAGAAAAACACAACAAGTGAAAAGCACAAAGGCAACAGATGCCGCCGCATTAGGTAATGTGATCTATGCAACAACAACAACAACAGTAACAACAGTTGTAGCTGTGAGATACATAGCGAAGGCTGCGTATCTATGTATCTGCGTATCTGCATATCGAATGCATATCTTTGTCTTTCACAAAGACCTGCGAGTGTTGTATGTTGTGTGTATGTATGTTGTATGTTGTATGTTGTATGTTGTATGTTGTATGTTGTATGTTGTATGTTGAGTGCGCATCTGAGCGAGTGCGATAAGATCTGCAGCACCGAAAGTGCGTGTTGCTGATGAAAGTTGCAACTGCCTGTGGCCTGTGGCCTCTGGCTGTCGCTGTGGTTGCAACTGTTGCCCTAACGGAACATTGCCTTACAGCGCATTTGCATGTCATTATGAGGTAGAAGAAGAAGAACCTTTCTAGCGATGCAAAGCTGTCGAGTATCTGTTCAAGTCATATTCATATTCAATGGGAGAACTGAGTGAAGCATATCATGCAAAGCTGAGAGCTGAGCACTGAGAGCTAATTAAACTGACTCTCAATGAGACGCGCTACAAAACTGTAACATGCCAAAGTAGTTAAAGCCGACGAACCGAAAATTGCGAACAGTCGCGAGTTCGAGAACCCAAAGACTGAAGACTGAAGAACGAAGACAAGCTCAACTCCCTCTGGCTCAGCTGGCAATTGTTTTTGCCCAACGTTGCGGAACGCAAATTAAAGTGACTCTGAAGTGCCACAGCTCGCTTGGGCGCTTGGGCACTTGGGACCTGGACGACTGCCAACTTGCCACAATCTTCGAGTCGAGCTCGGGTTCAGAGTGCAACCCTAACCACTGCTGAGCTGTTATTAACGAGCTAAGCAGAGTATCTAAAATGGAAAAGAGGAAGATTTTAACTAGCCAAGATATTGAATACGAAAAGAGAGGGTATATCTAAGCAGAGATCGTAAAAGTGAAGAAGAGTCCATTGCTATCTATTAAGCTGTAAGTGTCTGGCATAAAAAGACTCTAGAACAAGAACAAAGAAAGTCTAGTGGAGCGGATGGATAAGCTCTATAAGAAATGTCCAAGAACTGTAATGTATAGTTCTGTTCTTAAGTAAATTAACAAAGATACTAAGACTCCATCTACTGTGTCTCATAACAAAGATCTTTTACATACTTACCTATATACCTGGACATCGGAGGTCCTGGAACTTAAACTATATTTTCTCAGATAAATAACAAAGAGTTCATCTGCTTCCCAAGTACTCCTCTTTTTCAAATATTTTCATATATTATAATGTTAWATAATACCTTAATAATAATCCAATTTTCTCTCTTTGCAGACAGACGTCCCCCACAATTATGGACACCGGAAGCGTGGTTAGCGAACCGATTTCCGCGCATCATCGCGCCTTTGCCAAACAGAAATCGGCCTCGATGGTAAGTTCATGCGTTAGTTCAACTCGTAAATATTATAAATCATGCGCATAGCGCCCTATTGTCTAATTCGATGATATAAGCGCGCAACTAGCTAATTAGCCTCAGACACGCAGGCGAAGCCCCCATGTGCCATATAGCCATATATCATATCAGAGCTCAGCTGAGCTCAACTCAGCTCGGCTCAGCATCAGATACTTTACATAATTTCACGCTAGAAAGTTGCTCAAATTGAAATTCACAAACCAAAAATACAAGTACAACATGCAACACGATCAACAAATATATATATTTATATATACAAAATATAAAAGTCTAATCTCCATTGAATGCATTGGCAAAAACTTTGCATTAACAGCAGCTATTAAATTGTTAATGCATCGTAATGCATTTTTAAGCAACACTTTCCCAACAGATCTTCGAAATTGTTAATCATTCGCCAAAGCAGCTGAAGAAGCTTCAAATTCGTATTATCTGTTTGTTCACACCTTGAGAGCCGGTTGCGAATGCTACAATCGAAATTTTCACAATTTGCGATTTTATCTTTGTCATTCAACATAATGATTGAGCATGATATCATCTATGACTATATAACAGCACTATCCATACTAAGCTCTAAGAACGAAAAACTGTTTTTCAACTAAGTAAAATACCAAGGCTAATGATAAACTTCCGATACCTATAAATATGAATATACGTCTATATGTGATATACATACATCTTTCAGTTATCATTGAAGTCTTATATTATTAAGATTTCTTTAGACGTTTAGTCCGTTTCTATTTATCATATTAACTGTTCTATAGAGCAGCTATTGCTTGTAGATATAGACTAACCATATTTCCTAGACACCAACTCAAATACGAGTTTCTATTGTCTATTGTCATTTGCTTGGTATCTGGCGCGAGTCTAAATAAACTATAAATAAAGAATACTCTTAAATATTTATATTGTCTCAATTAATTTAAATATATACAAAAGGTTGACATACAGTTATACCTGTCTCTCTCTAATGTCACATAAATTTAATGCTAGCTTAGATTTCTTATCTTGTCTTCTTTCAAATTAAACATATAAACATATTTTAAATTAAACTTAATACATTCATAGAAAACTCTACTTATATGCCCATTTGCACTTTTTTGAACGAGTATGAAGCTTAAAAAGAACATGTAAGCAAAATGTTTCGTGTAGAAATTTTCGCAACTACAACTAAATAAATGTAGCTAAAAACTGTTGCCATTAATGCCTTATCACGATGAGTTACTAAATATCTGACAGATTATTTTATGTTAGCTTTCAGTTGATTTACAGCAACATGAAGCTGTTAAGTTGCATTTAAATTCTGTAAAGTACATACTCGCTTGCGTATGTAGTGCTGTTAAAGAGCATAGCCTGAACAGAGCGTGTTAAGTAAACAGTGCGAAGCAGTGCAAAGCAGTGCAATGCAACAGGAAGCAAGGAGTCCACAGTAAATGTTAAATAGCACTTATTGGCCAATAAATAATAAAATTAAGCATATAAAATACTTTAAAATAAACATTTATAATATAGATATATACAAATATATACTTTGATTCCGACATAATTAGTTATTAAAACATCTAAAATATTTCGTAAAATACATATAACATTTTGTAAGAGATTATTATAATTTCTATGTAGCACATATATATATCATCATTGCTGTAATAACTTTAATAGACGTGATTATTACACCCACCATATCAAATTTTGTTGACTAATAATAATATCTGTAGGCGGCCATAAAATCTTGGCTTATATTACCAATAGATAACGAGTCTATTTCCGTTAAAGAAAAGGCCCACATACCTGACTTTCCATACATCTAGACATGGTAAAAAAAATAAATAAATAAATGGTTGAGCAGTCATCCATACATATAACTAAAAAAAATAAAACATACACAACTGTAAAAGAGTCTTCTATTGAAGCACTTTCACTCGCAGCCAAACAGATTGAAAGCAACAGCAATTTATGAGTATTTTTCTTTTCTCATTTCTTTCGCTATTTAGTATTGATGAGGGCCGTTAAATGGGCGGCGCACTGGTCTTAAGAAATAAATTTGGAAATGAAGTAATATTAAAAATATACCTCAATATATACAAAAAACCATATATACAATATGCTATCATATAGAAGTCAATGAACTTCGGCGTTTGTTGTACATAAGTAACAACTGAAGAAACAAATAAGACCACTAGAACCTTTCATTTGTATTGCAAATTTCTGAATTTCTAAAAATGCTCTATGATTTTCATCTGGTAAATTCATATTCAATTCTGAAAATCTAATTTGAATAACTTACGATTGTCTTGCTATTTATTTTTTTCTCAGCTGCATGACATTATATCTTATCCAATTTAACATCCCTCATGGTAATTTACACCCTTTCAATGACAATATACGCTCAATTAATTTCTTCCACAAAATTACTTCAATTATTCATCAACTCAACGTTAGAAGAGGAAGAAAAAATAAATGTGGTTCAAAGTTGCAACTGTTGAGAAATTATTGTAATTTAAGAGTGTAAAAAACCAACCGAAATGCCAGGAAGTTCTCACGTTCAGACTGGACATTGTCCGGTCCTTTGAGAATATTACAAGATAAGGGTTTATATTCGTATGAGGCTAGATAGGGTGCATTTGGTGGTTGTTTCTGCGAGTGCATTCGAGAATCGTCTTAACGATCTTTTTTGCCGGCTTTTTATTGCCGCTTCTGCTTTGTTGTTTGTTTCGTTAAGTTTGGCTGCCGCTGGGCACGTAGTCGTAGCCGAAAAGCTTTCATTGCGTCATCGACAGCAGCAACAGGTTAAGCGCGCTCTGTGCAATGGCACCAACGCATAAAAGCTCGACACTACTATGAAAAGCTTTTAGTTGACGAAAGAACCTACGCGTGCCAACAGCTGTTTTTTGTTGCGACAGCTTTCTTTAGTTATCATACGCAATTTGTTTGTGAGTTGTGCCATTCTTAAGAAATGTTTGTAAACGAATGATTTGTTTTTATTGCTCGCTAAAAAATGTGTTTACGATTGTAATATTAAACGGCAATCGTGCTGTGCAAACAATAAAATTAATAGAATTGTCACATACATATATCATATACATATGTATGTATATGTATACACAAACGCGCACACAGTGCTCTATTAGCGATTCATTAAATAGGATTAACCGTAAAGCTAGCTAAGTTTGCTAATCAAGCTAACTTTTTTGGTATATCATGGTTTGCAAACATTTCGCTAATTTATCTATTCACAGTTCAATACACATGTGCTTATCTCTCTACATTTAGCAGAAGTAAACATATGACGATTTGCTCCATAACAGCGCGACCGGCATAACAATAAACCAACGAGAGCTTTAAGCACAAGCTTAAGCTACTGCAATAAAGCACACACACAAAAATACACATACAAGCGAAGGCAAGCGCACGCACGCCTCGTAAGTGAATTGTTATTGCAGCCGAACCCAAATTCCTCTTCCCTCTGCGCGATTTGACGAACTTTAGTGAAATGCGAATCGCAAGTGTCAGTCTGCTCTCAGCTTTCGTTCGGCTACCTTCGTTGATACGCGCTAGCGCCACAGCTAAACTACCTGCCTCCGCTCCAATTAAAAGCTACTGCGCAGCTATTTCACCACGATCGCTGCACAGTCAATCAACTGTAATGAGTCTGCCCGAGCGTAAACCCTTCTCAGCGGATTTCTTCTTTCGGCAAGTGCGTAGAAATGCGTTGAGTGAGCGTTTAGGCAGCTGCTCTAATTACAATGTATCCAACAGCTGTTCGACACTGAGAGCAGCACCTATAGCTACCTCCTGGCCGATACTAGCTCCGGCGAGGCCGTCATCATTGATCCCGTGCTGGAGCAGGCTAAGCGCGATGCACAGCTTGTAAAAGATCTCGGCTTCAAGCTGAAATACGCGAGTAAGTGAATGTGAGGTGAATTCACCGAATTCAGTCACTGACCACAAAGCCACCCAATTTTTCCCCAGTAAACACACACATGCACGCCGACCACATTACGGGCAGCGGCTGGCTGCGTCAGCTAACGGGCTGTCAGTCGGTGATTGCAGCGGCCAGTGGAGCCAAGGCGGATCGGCATATCGCGGAGGGGGATCGCATCGATTTCGGCCGACACTCGATCGATACGCTGGCCACGCCCGGCCACACCAATGGCTGCATGAGCTACGTCATCAAGGAGCAGGGCTGTGTGTTCACCGGAGACACGCTGCTGATCCGTGGTTGCGGGCGCACCGATTTCCAAGAGGGCAGTCCCAAGAGTCTCTATGAGAATGTGCACGCCAAGATCTTTAGCTTGCCGGAAAACTTTCGCATCTATCCGGCGCACGACTACAAGTGAGTTAACGGCGATTTGCTATGTGCTACTGCCATTTGTCAACCGGATAATGAGTATGCTTGTGCTTACAGAGGTCAGCTCGAGAGCAGCGTGTGGGAGGAGAAGCGCTACAATCCGCGCCTCACCAAGTCCCTCGAACAATTCATCGAAATCATGGAAAATCTCAATTTGCCGTATCCCAAGAAAATCGGTAAACAAATCGCATGTTGAGCCTTTGACAATAGCAAACTCATGGGTATTTCTTTTAGATGCTTCGCTGCCAGCCAACCGGGAGTGTGGTGTATACGATATACCCAAGGAGTAGTACTGGTACTTGAATGATATTAAGTATTTAGTATCTACTATACACGGAAAACTCTCTGAAGGGGAAAGGAACTGCTCAAAAACTGTCTAGGCTTATGTTTTATACTCCGACTGTAATCAACACTTACTTTTCTGATTTCTTACTTTAAATACCAAATATGTATTAGAGTGTACATGAAGTTATAAATAAATACATATCTGTATTGGGTCTATTTCTAAATGTTTTAATATGCAAAATACAAAATTCTTGAAGACTTGAATCAATATTAAAGCTATAGTTCATATATCTATTTACTATTGAATTATCTATTTATTATTGTTTGGCGTAACCCTTACCACCCTATAACCGTTGTCGTGTGTGCCTCTTATCAAAAATTTATATAACTACTATCGCTCGCTTGGTCAAAAATCAAGTGTTTGGGTGGGGTAATGGACCTAGACCTGTGCATGTCTCTGTGCTTTTTGACATTGTATTCACATTATATTTAATCGATATTAATTATAAATAGTACACACAAGCTGCTGGCCTAGCAAAGGACATATAAACTTAGTTAATGAAAAAGCAACAATTAAATAATTTTTGTTAACCTCCCCCAATGGACTGGAGTTACGACTCTTGAGCCTTGGGGCAAACAAAACTCTTCTGTAATAAATGTTTCCTGGATGTGTTGAGCGTATTCCTAAGTAGTTCCTATACTGGTGAGCATAGTGTGAAGAGGTATATTGGCTCTCCTTGAAGAGTTCATTTTTAAGAAAATGCAAATATCCTGTTTGAAAACAATGGTTACGATTCACACCTATGGAGCCAAGTTTTTAGGATCATCTGCCTTTTATCGAAATAATACATTCCTCAGCTTTAGAGCTKAAACTAAATCAATGTTTATTTAAATTAATATATAAAT